CAAATTTGTCCATAAGCTTTGTATGGTAATGAAGCCTGTCTTCTCTTATAGCCTTCGTCCATATGTTCCTGATATGTTTATATTGCCTATACGCTCCATCGTTATTAGTTCGTTTATATTCCGCCCAACAGTGCCTTTTGCGGCTTAGCAGGCGAAAGGTACGGTTCTTGATTACTGTAGGTGGCTTGCAGCTTTTGGGAACCGTTTGAAGAACTGAATGGTTTGTAGCACATAAGAGCGTGTGCAGTAAGAAGTCCCAGTGACCGTCCACATCGAGTTGAGGGTGAACATCCCAGACTACCTGTTGCAGATTGTCATGTAGAGCTGGCACATTCAGCCGTTTAAAATTCCAACGCAAATTATTGTTGGGATACCTTAGCTTAGTTTTGGTGACAAAACTGAAGGCTATGACGGCATGATCGCTCTTTCCCAGAGGAGCCAGGATTGAGAGGTTGTCAACTAGAAACTCTTCGTTAGTGAATACACAGTCTAAGCGCGATGGTGTCTGACTGTTTCTCCAACGAGTTGCCGACCTCACATTTTCATATAAGCCCAAGTCATCGATGAGGTTGAAGAACCGAGCTTCAATTGAGTTGTCGCCTCCAGTGTACGTATGTTCCGCGAAGTTGACTCTAGGGAGATTAAAGTCCCCTAGAATCAGGATGTGTGTGAAACCGAGACGGGTAGAGCGGGATAGTCCTTCCAGCATACGACTATCGTACTCGGTGTCGGCAGTTGGCTTCCTGTAAATGACTCCAACTAGACACCTCGAAGTACTTGACAATCTAACAGAGCACCATATGGATTCCTCAAGATTGTTAAACTCGAGGTTGTGAACTTGGTGCACCTCCAAGCAAGAGCTTATGAACTTGAACTTCACTTTGCTGAAGTTCGTCGAAAATAAGCTTCCCGTTTTAATATATTCGACGAATTGACCACCAATTCATGAATATAGCGCGTGCAACATTGGACTAGTTCCTCCATGGGTTATAGTCGACGTGAAGTATAAAAAACTGCTTGTGAATGATGCATCTTTGAAAGGTGCATATGGAAACTTGAACTAATAGTTTGAATAACAGTGTTGAAAGCAACTGCATGTTTATTAGATAGATCAAGACTGAGAGTTTTTTCGCTCTCTCCACTTTTAATAAAAGCACGCGAAAATACAAAGCATTAAAATAAGACAACAGAGACCGCGGACGGTTATTTTTGCATTGACCTACAGGGTATTCTGAGATCTTCAATGTTCCTCCGAAACGTAATTATATCCTTCGTTTCTTATTGTTACATCCTAGTAAATGGTGCCTAATGAGTTGTTCGTCTGTCAGTGCTACGATTTCTTACTGACAGTAATTTTCAAAATTGTTTCTCAGCTCGAAAACTAAGGATAAGCATTCTCTCAATTTCGAACAGTTTTACGTAGAACTTTAGCTTAAAAATTGCGCAACATTTAGGTGCACTAACTTAAAGTATATATGAAACATAGCTAGTGATGCTAAGCTAAAACTAAATGGAACTCTAACTGTTTCAGTATAAAAACACAAACATAGGTGGTGTTAATTAGTGTGTATATACTAGTCCAGTTTATATTATAGAGGACGTCTTGTGAAAAATTCACAAATGTGCATTCACAATTCTTCGTTAGAACCTAATGTTTACTGTTACTGTTAAAACAAGAACGATATAACGTCTTTCTAATCTGATTTCATATTCAGACATCATTAGTTGGTTGTCTAAGGTTACTGGTTTGGACTACTTGTCACATCTTTTTTACATGAACTAATAACTTCACTGACGATTCGTTTTGTAAGCATTTGACATCTCTTCCTTAAAAAATTAACTGTTTCCATTTTATGCCTCTGATGAGCTTAATTAGTGTTGAATATGTGTACATAAATGGTCATTTTGTCACGACCGTTATAGACAGACGTACGTGGAACCTAAGGACTTGGTGAGTTGGGGAAATTTTTGTCGAAATATTCTTCGTTGTTGAATACAAATATTACTTGTTTGGTGAAATTATTCAGGATGGCACAGTGCACGTTCTGTCAAGTGGTTGAATTTTCGTCGCCAATATGCTGAATCAGCAAGTTTTGTAACGAATATGCAGCGAATTCAGTGACCTGTATTAATCCTGAAATAGTGCTCATTCGTGTGGCTCGATATCTCTTTTAACATCTCGACAAGCGCCATACAAGTGCGTTGAAGTGAAGGGTTTAATTATAGAAACGATAGTCAATGACAAAATTATTCAGACCTAGGCTTTTAAAAGATTTTGTAATGCACCCATAAATTCCTCGTAGAAGCAAGAGTTTCAGGAGAAATGATGATTTGTATGGAGACTGTGAATAAGCAATTTCTAATCTCTTTGTATGAAAAATAGAATAACTTCAGTTTGGATGGACCTCAATATGTGATCGATTTGGTTAAAAATGTCTCACTAGTCACATGCTATCTGAGTTAATAAAAATTAATTAAAAGCCAAGGTGACTTTGTGATCAGTGTATGCCGTTATAAAATTGGAGAAATTTATTGGAGGTCACTAAATATCAGCCCATTTATTCAGTGTTTTCGAAGCTCCAGACTATTCTGTTCGCCCAGTTTTGCTGCTTGTATACCCATATCTTCTGCATACTACAAAACTGAGGATGACCGATAACTAAGATCATTAATTCAGAAGAAAAATAATCATATTCCAAAGTCTTCACACCATAGTACTTAATCAGACGCGGCTTACAAGACAGACAACCTAGTTCATCAAAATCTTTGATATTCATTTACTTTAGATAATAATCCCGTGTTTATGAGATTATATGGCATCTAGGTAAATTCGACGGAGTCATGTTCCTTGTTACTGCATGGTCGTTCTTATCAAACTAGCTATTACGTCCTGTTGATAAACTTGATACATTATTAATCTCTAAACTTATTTTGTTATTCTGGGAAAACCATATATTTTAAGGTGATTACTAGTAAAATTCCTGACGTAAAAATCACTTAACCAAGAGTTTTTCTGTGCACAGGAACATCGAAAACATGTATTACTTCTTTTACTTTGTCTTGAAGAGCCTTTGTTTATGCACACGAGAGACAAAGGTCAATCAATGTAATATTTACGCGCGCAAACTTCACGGTGAAGGTTGTTTGTTAGGTTGTCGTACATTTGCCACTGCCGATTTTATGAGTTTGTTGCACAGAATAGCCTAATTGTGCAACTTGGCAATGAAAACAATTTGGATTCAGAATCTTTTCTGAAATTAGACTATGAGTGTGTTGGATTCAAGCCGAAGTGTAGATAGGTGTTTAGCTCTTACAGTAGTATTTGGTTGTCTAATCCTTAATTACACTACTGATCTCATTTTGTGACACATTCTAGAAAGATATGTTTAAAGTCTTCGTAGTCTGGTACTACACTTTGGAGAGTTCACTTAATACATCACATCTGAAAGTCTCATGTAACCTCAGTAGATTGCCAACTAGAAGTCAAGCTTGAAGTATTAGCTGCCCTTCGTGATTCTATAAGAGGTGTTAGGCACTTTGACGTAGAATGATTATCCTAAACGAATATAATCTGATCGCGGTTCGGGTTTTCATAAGATTGCTTGGTGAGACTATAATTTATGGATGATATTGGAGCGACGCTTGACTAACCTTGAGTGTCCGCTTACATACTAGGGCTAAATGAGGGTAATAAAGCAATTTAAAGAATAGGGATTATGATTTACAGTTGATGGTTTAGGTCAGGAATTAGATGTAGGGTTTTCGTCATGAATTGACATCAGCTATACTGCCAAAACTCTATTTAGCCAAATGGGTAAGTGAATTTCGCGCCAAAATCTATGACTTGTTATCGTAAATCTGATTGATTCGTCCTTAAATTATAGTCTCACCAATAACATAATTAGCCGCTCACCGATTGGGACAACACTTAGTACATAGGTTTAACTTCACAAACAAGGATATCTTCTTAGGACCTATTGCAGTTTCTGAAGAGTTGCAATCACCCATTGGAACGTGTGCCTTTTAAAGACTGATAGTTGCGTAGATATGCTGAATGTTTGGCTTTGGAAATGGAGAGGCAACTAAAAATGCTAGTCGGTTGATGAAATACTTGACTACTGTCACATCGATTTAGTACTAAAATGTATATACAAGCTCATGTTATTGTAATGCTAACAGTTGTTCTGTTAGTCTTATTATCAACGAACTGGGCTCCATGTAACATATCCCATACAAACAACCTGGAGGGAAACGCGTCTGGATTGTTACTACGAAGACTAGTCCATCACTTGTAGCTTAAAGTGGGTTTTCTTTAGGCGTTTACTACATTTAGTGTGGTTCATCAGTGCCTTATAGCCTATGTTTGCCAAATATTTTTATGATTATAATTCATACACTCACCGAATGATATATCTTTCCAAAAACCTTCTAGCCTTGTTAAGTAAAACGCCTCTGTGTGCTAAAACCTCCGAGTACTTTAGACTGTTCATCATACATTTTACTACTGCTTCCTATCTATTCTAAATTGTAGAAACTCGGAACAATAAATACTTATTTTATATCACAATGTTTCTTTATTGCTGAGTTGATTTAAAATAGTGACTACTTGCCCTTCTACACTGATCATATGAACCGGCCAGCTTATAAAACCTCAGTATATCCATGCATATATAACCCAGACAAGGTACAGTTGGTTAGCAATTGTCTACTCAGTTGCTGTGAGACATTTTAAAGGATCGAATAATTAGGCATTACATCATTTCATCAAAACAATGCTAGTGTGCTCTGGAACCACTAAATAGAGTGTCGGAATAAAGCCTAGAGAGTTTACAAAGCTTCCTATCAATCGGCTTTTTTTTCTGCTTCACGTATGCTGATTGTCGCTGGTCGGCAACAAATGTAGAAACTATTTTATTAGCACCCATACTACAAAGATTCTAAATTACTCACCAAAATCCTATTCAAATAATACGTTTTATCGTCTCACTGATCCTTTGCAGATGCAATCTATTAGTTCAGATAAAGAAGATATGGAAGAAGTTGAAATGGATCTTCCAGTGTCGTGTAGTTTTACTGATCAAGCTAAGCAACGTGAAATCCACCAGAGAAAAATTAATAAGACTATTATTGAAAATCGCATAAAAACCAAAGCACTCCGCAAAGCTAAGCGTAATGTACGCAAACAAACAGTAATGTTCAATGCGGTTTGTTATATTTTACTTTAGGACGGCTGCCAGTCTAGTGAAATAGCTTGCCAAGAAATCCAAGTAAGTCTTATGCGTTTTATGTAATAGTCTTTTGAAAATTAGTATATACCGCTGAAGGATAAGGAAAAGTCAAATGTAAGGTTGTCACTTCCATCATATACATACGTATATTAAGGAAAAGGACTGTCTAGAAGAAGAATTTAACTGTCCGGGATATTTTAACACATCAGATCATCTTCAATTTGGTGAAGACGATGGTGATCAACCTCCCATACAAAATAAATCTCAATCCTTGGACATATCAGCCAGCTCTTCACCGAACGAGAATGAACTACTATACGGCAACGGTAAGTTACTATCCCTGTACAATGATTGATTTTTAAGATGTGAACTTTTCAATTATGTTTGAGTCGCGTCATACAGTTTTCCTCAGACTCACCTCTTCTTATCTGTCAGAAACTTCAGTAGGATGAATCGCGTGCTAAAATACGCACCTAAAAGCGGTGTTAGATTGACAGTCATCACAAGAAACTACACTTCTAATCGTGTCTTATGTCTTGGGTGTGTAACTCTGGATGATAATTGTTTATACCATGCCTTAATTTATATATGTTTAGCTTATTAGTATTCTAGCTAACGATATCATGTAGTATATCAATAACATTTTCATAATAGTACATTTGACGCAGTGTTTACGGCAATACTTAAGACAAACAATCTCACTAGTACGTATTCTGTAAGGTTTAACAATTCGTCCTAGATTTCATTTCACCTAATGTAGCAATTTATAATGATCTTATTACCGTGACGTGCAAATATATCAACACTATGTTTATCCTCACACAATAGATACGTTTATTTTCATATTTGGTTACTCAATTCGTGGTAATAAGTAGTTTTGTTTCTGGTTGAGTTGTAGAGCAAAAACCAAATTCGTGGATAGTAATTGTAATTCTCTGATAATTTTGTGCTCATGACTTGCATACAAACTCACCAGGAGATCTGGCAATATCTCCAGCAAACTGTTCCTATTATTAGCGACGTATTTTCGCTAAGACCATACTAGTGAGGTATACAATACTACGTGATTGACGTTTTCCAAGGCTTTTAATGTGCATCTGGTTCCTCTTTTGTTTTAGCTTCACACTTGTCTTTATCAGTTTGACCAAGGTCATTAAGAATACCGTTAGGTGTCTGTATAGGACACCCTGTAGCTGATTAGAATAAAAGTCGACAATACGATAATTCTATTAAGTTCATACCACTTGAAGTAAATAAACCTGAAGTCTGGTCCACCTATAATACAGCTTTATTACTAAGCCTCACGCAGTTAATAGGATATATATATTTCTGCTGGTAGTTACACTCTTCATAAAACTCACTTATTCATTTCAGAGTCCGATGAAGGGTATGATGGCAGTGAAGAGCACGATAAGAATAAATCAAAGACAATACTTTTTGACAATATTGATTCTTTTACAATTAACACCTTGAAATCCAAGGGATCTGATTTTGAAACACGAAATCACAAGTCATGGAAAAAAATAAACAGGTTGAATGGGATTCATGTTCGAATACTGGATAGCGCAAATATTGAAAACACGGCTCGTCAAAGATGTGACAGTTTTCGAAAAAACCAATTGTATTCCTCTTCGTATTCCGGGAGGTATGGAGATGTTAAACGAGTCACACCAAGCTTACTGAGAAACTTATCAAGAAAGAAGAAAGCTAGAGCTGGAATGCGTTAACTATTTGACTAGAAATCCTGTAAATATGATTTTTGTTTGTTGTCATTAATTTGGTAATCGCTCAATGACGCTATTCGATCTACTGCTTGTTTTTAGAGTAAACTGTGTTTATGTAATATAAAGCGCGGTGATACTTGTATTTGAATTATTGCAGCAAACATCTCACTTTCTGAAAACGTCTAGTCACTTTTCTTTAGAGATGTAATCGTATTAATCATAGTGAGATCTTCATAAGCCCTATCCAGATGAAAGATCGAAATCCGCTTGCTGTGATGTTTCCACTCGAAATTCATCTCCCGCCTGACAACTGAGTTACTACCCAGTTGCTGTATGAAATTCAGTAAGTTTTGGTATGAGTTTCTTGGTGTATTAAGGTTACATTTATTCCTCGCTGGATTTTTCTTTATTAGCGGGTTCACAATTAACTGCTCATTTTACATAGGTGTTTGTATAACTGGCCCCCAAATGCCCTGGTACGGCCGAGAGTGGGGAGAGTTCGCTCTACCTCTCGAAATGCTCTCACATGGCCACGCGTATATAGCCTCTGCCAGAGAAGTCCTACTCATTGCCTTCTCGTGGCGGGGTTGTTTACCACATTGAGAGGACGAAAACCAAATGTCCGGCGCTTTAACCGGGTTGGTGGACACGGTGATTCCACCTAGGGGAGTTGGAAAACCCTGATTCCAAACCAATGGTGCACATGGGCTCCAGTATCCTGAAGGAACAAATGGCGTATGAACCAATCGTTGGTCACCGGCTTCCATGGGAATGCACCTCCTTACGTTACTCCACTGCCTTGTGGATCAGGTCGAAGGTTCCGCGTGTGGTCCCCTAAGATAACCACCTGCCTCGGTTTGGGCACCTGGGCAGTGTCACAGCCCTTACACATATCAAATGAGGTCTGTGTGGCGCATATGTATTTGCTGCCTCCTTGTACCAATATGTGTGTTAAAATAAATTTTAAAGTTCGTCTCCGCAAAGTGTTAAAACGTCCCTTACAAACTATTTACTGAGCTTAGTATAGTATCACGTATATATGTGTTCCCTTGTTAACCACTGACTCTTCTTGGATAAACTACAGTTTTCTCACTTTTAAGCCTGTATTTCTTTTGTTTGTCAAGCAACCGTAAGCTGACTTCATTTCTTACGAACCAGACTTGACGAAAGGCTCCCATTTTAATTTCAAACTTGGGCATAAAATGTAAAGTCATCTAGGTTTTCATTGAAACCTTAATTGTAAATGATAAAAATAGAGAGCAACAAAGAAGAAATGTGTTAAAGCAGACTTATAGTTTCGCTAAAATTGGTCATTTATGTGTAAATTTGCATGTAAAAATTTAAATTTATGCGACGAAAGTCTTGTTTTAAGCAAGCAAAACTCACTAGTTGGATGATAACATTACGTCAAAATGTTACACAGAAATGTATATATTTCAGCATGAAATGAACTAAATACTAATTGAGGAAGACTTTAAATCTCTCTTTTGGATATTTTAAATCCTAAGTAACAAATTACGGAGAGCTTTTGGGACTACTACTTATGAAACCTGACTGGGGGAAAGTATAAGAGTAAGCATCATGTATGATAACCACTTAACGATCGATTCCATACACTGGATAGTCATAAGGAGTTTTTGGCATCGAGCAGAAAAGTTTTGCGAAGTAATTAACGAAGCTTGGTAACTGAAATATTCTTACCAAATAAATAGGTTTTTGTTACAGCGTGTACTTTTACTTCTAATCTATTTCTATATTTCGCGTCATGATACAAGAGAATAAAATATAACATGGATTTCAATTTATGTAAAAAAATTAACAAAATTGGATCTGAAGATCAATTTATTAACTCAAGTTGTGCGATCCAGGTTTTCTTGTAACCATTCATCCGAAAGTTCTTCCAGGTCTCTGAGCTCAAAAACCTAAGAGGTCAGATATAGTATGCTGAACCTTAATACTTACCTTCGTAACTCCGCTTTTATGCATCAGATTTGTAAGACTTGTGGTATACATCATCTTCAGGTTAGTAGCAGAACCTATAAAGTTTTTAATGATGTGTAGGCTTAAATCAATATTCTATCCAAACGGATAAACTATATATATAGTATTTTCAGGTCCTTTTAACTGACCCATCCTTTAGCATCACTGATCTCTAAAGCCCATAATAATGAGACAGCCACAAAAATTTAAAGCAAATATTTCTAGGGATCCCATGTGTGGTTGTAGTAAAGCAAGTGCTTCTTGAAGCCTGTCGGCACAATTGCAGCTCGACAAGACTAAGAACACTATCCCAAGATTTCTGCAGGTACACGGTGAAAGTGATTAAGTCTGAACGAATGTAGTATTCAGGATATGTGTTATGAACTCTGCTCTCCTTTACCCCAGTGTAATGCTGGATTGTGTCCAGACCCCAGGACCGAGAGATAGATACATCTTAGTTATTCTTTGACAAGGTAGTTAGTAAAGTAGGCAATGAAGTAATTAGAATGATGCTTTGACACAAGTCGCATTTCTGATTCTGTAGAAGACAATTTAGTTTCCTACCCATAATCAATTAAGAACAATTAAAAAAACAGATTCGATACAATCACATACCCATCGGAGTTGAAAATAATAGACAGTATGGAAATGTTACTCGACCATCCTCCTTTTCATAACGGTAACTTAAAAGAATATATCTTGGTTGATGGTACGGTAAAGAATCTTTGAGATTGTTAAGTGTAATATCCTAAATTGGGAAATTCTTTAAGCATATAAAATAAACTGACTTCAAGTATTTGTTCTGGTTCGATTTTCAAAGCTTCTTTATCAATTTTCACTACAACATGATACTGATTAACACTTAATAAACAAGGGACAACATATGAGGGCAATTGTGTTCTGGGATTTTCGAAATTTGAACTTTTTTAGGTTATCTGCAGTATCTTCAGATATTTCAGCGACGCGGAGCTCAGACTGAAGTACTTAGGGCATTTGTAATAGCGAAAAATTACCATTGTGAATGTTCTGAAATTAAATAAACAATAAAAGCAATGGTAAGTGCTCAGTTAGTCAGTAACAACGTAGAACTTCGTACGTACGTACATCAGTTCGAGTTGCCACACCACATTAGCACAAAGATGCAGTTGTCGATTAAAATCTCGTAGTGGTAGAGGCGGTAAGAGTATAAGCAGTAGTCGGAAAGATTAGGTTTGAAGATGTTATTTAAAAAGTGCTAATATCCGGAAGAGTATTCTCTTTTTGTATCCTTCGGTGCATACAAAGCTCACTGTATACAAACCAAAAACAAATTGCACGCGAAGTTGAAATTGCTTTTACAATCGTCATCAGCAAAAAGGCTTTTAGTGTTTGCACAAGAAAATGGAACCTTCACAGGCTACTACTTTAAACAATATACGATATATATAAAGTCATTATTAGCTAACCCGGTGCTGTGATACATAGGTCTATTCCAGCCTGATACGATCACTGCATTTCAGTGCGTTTGTTTCAAGAACCTCCACTAACCCACAAAGCGGATCCCAACATATATTCCACTAATGGGAACTCTGGATTATTAGTAGCCAAGTTAATAAGTGGTAATTGTAAATTGTTTCTAAGAAGTAATTCCTAAACTAACTGATTTATAAGGCGTCAGGAAACATTGTTTGGAAAACAGAAGTACTTATTTATAATTTTCAGACAGCCTAAAAAGGATGAAAGAGAATTGATATGGGAGAACTAGATACTACATTACAAAACGCTTCTTATGAGTTGTTGTACGCATAAAGAGCAGCTAAAGTAATCAGTTGTCGACTTAATCCAGTGAACAGATAATACTCTTCTGACACTAGTGTTGCATGTATGCCATTGACACCCCAAAGTGCCAAAAGGAAGTAGTAAAAAAAGGAGTTTAGTGGGAGAGAAAGGAGGTGGGAATGTAGTGCTCTCTTACAACAATGTTCCTTTTGTTCGCGGCGTCGTCATTCACTTCGTCTACTTTCGTCATCTATCAGTAGAGGTTGGGATTTATTTATTCGCAGAGTAAAACCATTCATTATCATGGAAACCCTAACTTCGAATTATTTATTATTATTATGGTGTACGCTTTCCCTTGAAACACTACTCATATGGGTATGATTAAGGTGCAGCGTAAAAATTCGTTGTGGCTGGCCTTATCCCACAAAAGACCTGAAAATATGAACAAGCGTATCACACCTATAGTTAAGTCTATCGTATTGTGCTAAGCAAACTACCCAAGTTTTAAACAAAATTTCGCATCTTGCGTGACGTTTCTCTTTAAGAATCACGACGTTCATGGTTATTGAAGTAGCTTGGGACAAAGCTAGGAGAGACCAAATCACGACATGGCATCAATACGTGAAGACAATAACGGCTGAATTGAGTTATGTAGGCAGGTGCAGATTACCTAGTTAAGGTTCGTGTGAATTTAGTGATTAGTGGTTAGAAAGTGGGTAAATCTACTATCTTCCCTTAAATCATAAGTTCACGAATTATATTACTACTTTTTTTGTTTTGCTTATCTTCATTTAGTTTTCGAGCCGTGTCTTCCACAACCATTCTTTTCTATTACCATCTACACTGTTGCGAACACTACTCTCCTGTGATATAGGTTATCCCTTCTTTATTTAGTATCTTCAGTTCTTAAAAGTATTTTACCATCACCTCTGCACGTAAGTTTTAAGTGTTTAGAAATATATATTATCTCACCTCAGAGTGTACGGCGACTCCGTTGATGCCATTAAAAGTGATGTACATAATTTTGTTTTAAAAAATAAGTGGCGTTACGGTGTAAAACACATTTTGTATAACATCCATTTGTTGAATAACGATGCTAATGTTCTTCTACATGGGACTTTGGATTCATATTCAGTTTACCCTTTCGAGTTTTATAAGAGGCGGATAAAAAGGACAGTGTACTGCGGATAAGCTGCAGCCAAAAAGGCTTTCCAGCGTTGTACAAAAAATCGTTAGTAGTAGGCTATAACTCAAAGTCTGCGTTGTTATAACTAAAATTAGTCACATAAGATTCTAAGAAACGTTATTCCTTGCAAAGATTCTTGATTCACCTCATTTAAGCCCAATGATATGGTAATAGTTGAGGATAAGCTTGGAGAAATTTCAGATTTCTTGGATAATGCATCAACGGGTTTTAAACTCATAGGTCTTCTAACCAAAGAATTTCATTCTACTCGTATAGAAAAATATTGTCCGTGGTTAGTTATGAACACAAACACTATAGCTGGAATATCGTCTAAGCAAATTTTTGTAAGCCGCACAAATAATGAGGTGATTGATTCCCTCTTACGTATGTTTTTGTATGTTAATTTTGCATTTTCTCATAAATACACTAGAACATTGAGATTAAGAAACAACCCATTTTCAAACTTCTTAAGCCTGTAACTAGAAAAGTGTGTTGTAATTGTTTTGACTAATAAACAAGTATTTGGTGTAGCAGGCAGCCGGGTTGTCGGTAGATATTATGTATTAAGCCAAATAACTCAGTGGAAATTGAACTAACGAACACAGACGTCGATCCGGATGGGAACCGGTCGACTATTCAATCGATGGATCACAACTACTTTCGTGAGTTTCAAGCACAAGTTATTTTCAAAAACGATTATTTGTCTTGTTAGTAAGTTAACTTACTATTATTATCTTCATTTAACAAGGTAATCACAAACAACCCCGAAAAATTTAATGAGGAAAGCACTACTGAAGGGGAACTGGGTGATGTGGACACATATCTCCAACAAGACATAAGTTTGTTAGAAACACAAGGTTTTCGTCACATAAAAGTTAAGCTGCATAACTGCTATCAAGAGAAAGACAATATCATTAATAGTCTACACTAAAAACTTTTCCTTCCCGTTTTCTAGGTGCAGGGATCAATTTTAACGACTGCCAAGTCTCACTGTATGCTGTCACATTCTTAGAAGAAATTTTCAGAATAATACTTAAATAAACATGGTCTCACTTTGATGTTTCACTGAACAAAATCACACCCGTCACTGATAATGGGGATATGTGGCTTCCCCGGGTGTTTTCGAAAATTTTCTCATACTATCATTCGAATATTCTATTTGAATCTGCTGCTTTGTGACAATCGAGACATGCCTACAAGCATGTCAAATATTGATAAGAGCAAGTATTTCATTTAGAACAGACCCGAGCTTCCAATTTTGGGGAACTTTTAGGGAAACTGCTGAAGTCAAATGACCGCCAAGGTTAAAAGGGAATTTGGGGGGTTTTGTGCCATTTTCCCTAAATTTACTATAGCGGCTTCCCCAAAATGTGCCAAATTTTCCCCAAAATTGGCAGCTAAGGCGACGTTCTTAATCATCAGCTAAGTCCAAGAAAAGCGTAAAACTAACAAGTTAATGCATATATTCCTTGCCAAATATCGATCGAAGACTGTCATATTTGTCAGTTACACCAGAATCATTGTCGTGTGCACACGACTGATACTTAAATGTCAGTGATACATATGTATCACTTCCCGTTTATATAAGCGAGAAGTAGACTATTTAGGGTGGATTTATGCAGAGATTAGACCGTCGGTCTTGAGATACGTATCTCTAGGAGGACATTAAAACGGAACATAAGTGCTTACCACCGAAACCAAACACAACAAAAATTGTCACTGTCACAGTTGTACCGTAAAAATCAAAATTAACACGGTCTACAGTTATTTATCTCCATATCAGTTAATTGAAATATCTTACAGATCTAATCAATTTTAGTTCAAGTAGAATTTTACTGACGCCTTAGAAGTTACATTTCTCCTATAGGATTCAATTCAATTTTTTGGAACGAACTGCATATGTTTTTTGTGAATAGCTACTGTAACGCATTTTAGTTTTCTGGAGTAAAAAAGCAACGAAAATTGAAGCTTAACTCTTGAATATAGTCTAAGCCAAAGTGCATGCTCTTGTATGTATATTTCATCCATAAAACTAATCCAAAGAGATGACATCAGGATTGCGAGGCCAGTCATGGAAACCCTAACTTCGAATTATTTATTATTATTATGGTGTACGCCTTCCCTTGAAACACTACTCATATGGGTATGATTAAGGTGCAGCGTAAAAATTCGTTGTGGCTGGCCTTATCCCACAAAAGACCTGAAAATATGAACAAGCGTATCACACCTATAGTTAAGTCTATCGTATTGTGCTAAGCAAACTACCCAAGTTTTAAACAAAATTTCGCATCTTGCGTGACGTTTCTCTTTAAGAATCACGACGTTCATGGTTATTGAAGTAGCTTGGGACAAAGCTAGGAGAGACCAAATCACGACATGGCATCAATACGTGAAGACAATAACGGCTGAATTGAGTTATGTAGGCAGGTGCAGATTACCTAGTTAAGGTTCGTGTGAATTTAGTGATTAGTGGTTAGAAAGTGGGTAAATCTACTATCTTCCCTTAAATCATAAGTTCACGAATTATATTACTACTTTTTTTGTTTTGCTTATCTTCATTTAGTTTTCGAGCCGTGTCTTCCACAACCATTCTTTTCTATTACCATCTACACTGTTGCGAACACTACTCTCCTGTGATATAGGTTATCCCTTCTTTATTTAGTATCTTCAGTTCTTAAAAGTATTTTACCATCACCTCTGCACGTAAGTTTTAAGTGTTTAGAAATATATATTATCTCACCTCAGAGTGTACGGCGACTCCGTTGATGCCATTAAAAGTGATGTACATAATTTTGTTTTAAAAAATAAGTGGCGTTACGGTGTAAAACACATTTTGTATAACATCCATTTGTTGAATAACGATGCTAATGTTCTTCTACATGGGACTTTGGATTCATATTCAGTTTACCCTTTCGAGTTTTATAAGAGGCGGATAAAAAGGACAGTGTACTGCGGATAAGCTGCAGCCAAAAAGGCTTTCCAGCGTTGTACGAAAAAATCGTTAGTAGTAGGCTATAACTCAAAGTCTGCGTTGTTATAACTAAAATTAGTCACATAAGATTCTAAGAAACGTTATTCCTTGCAAAGATTCTTGATTCACCTCATTTAAGCCCAATGATATGGTAATAGTTGAGGATAAGCTTGGAGAAATTTCAGATTTCTTGGATAATGCATCAACGGGTTTTAAACTCATAGGTCTTCTAACCAAAGAATTTCATTCTACTCGTATAGAAAAATATTGTCCGTGGTTAGTTATGAACACAAACACTATAGCTGGAATATCGTCTAAGCAAATTTTTGTAAGCCGCACAAATAATGAGGTGATTGATTCCCTCTTACGTATGTTTTTGTATGTTAATTTTGCATTTTCTCATAAATACACTAGAACATTGAGATTAAGAAACAACCCATTTTCAAACTTCTTAAGCCTGTAACTAGAAAAGTGTGTTGTAATTGTTTTGACTAATAAACAAGTATTTGGTGTAGCAGGCAGCCGGGTTGTCGGTAGATATTATGTATTAAGCCAAATAACTCAGTGGAAATTGAACTAACGAACACAGACGTCGATCCGGATGGGAACCGGTCGACTATTCAATCGATGGATCACAACTACTTTCGTGAGTTTCAAGCACAAGTTATTTTCAAAAACGATTATTTGTCTTGTTAGTAAGTTAACTTACTATTATTATCTTCATTTAACAAGGTAATCACAAACAACCCCGAAAAATTTAATGAGGAAAGCACTACTGAAGGGGAACTGGGTGATGTGGACACATATCTCCAACAAGACATAAGTTTGTTAGAAACACAAGGTTTTCGTCACATAAAAGTTAAGCTGCATAACTGCTATCAAGAGAAAGACAATATCATTAATAGTCTACACTAAAAACTTTTCCTTCCCGTTTTCTAGGTGCAGGGATCAATTTTAACGACTGCCAAGTCTCACTGTATGCTGTCACATTCTTAGAAGAAATTTTCAGAATAATACTTAAATAAACATGGTCTCACTTTGATGTTTCACTGAACAAAATCACACCCGTCACTGATAATGGGGATATGTGGCTTCCCCGGGTGTTTTCGAAAATTTTCTCATACTATCATTCGAATATTCTATTTGAATCTGCTGCTTTGTGACAATCGAGACATGCCTACAAGCATGTCAAATATTGATAAGAGCAAGTATTTCATTTAGAACAGACCCGAGCTTCCAATTTTGGGGAACTTTTAGGGAAACTGCTGAAGTCAAATGACCGCCAAGGTTAAAAGGGAATTTGGGGGGTTTTGTGCCACTTTCCCTAAATTTACTATAGCGGCTTCCCCAAAATGTGCCAAATTTTCCCCAAAATTGGCAGCTAAGGCGACGTTCTTAATCATCAGCTAAGTCCAAGAAAAGCGTAAAACTAACAAGTTAATGCATATATTCCTTGCCAAATATCGATCGAAGACTGTCATATTTGTCAGTTACACCAGAATCATTGTCGTGTGCACACGACTGATACTTAAATGTCAGTGATACATATGTATCACTTCCCGTTTATATAAGCGAGAAGTAGACTATTTAGGGTGGATTTATGCAGAGATTAGACCGTCGGTCTTGAGATACGTATCTCTAGGAGGACATTAAAACGGAACATAAGTGCTTACCACCGAAACCAAACACAACAAAAATTGTCACTGTCACAGTTGTACCGTAAAAATCAAAATTAACACGGTCTACAGTTATTTATCTCCATATCAGTTAATTGAAATATCTTACAGATCTAATCAATTTTAGTTCAAGTAGAATTTTACTGACGCCTTAGAAGTTACATTTCTCCTATAGGATTCAATTCAATTTTTTGGAACGAACTGCATATGTTTTTTGTGAATAGCTACTGTAACGCATTTTAGTTTTCTGGAGTAAAAAAGCAACGAAAATTGAAGCTTAACTCTTGAATATAGTCTAAGCCAAAGTGCATGCTCTTGTATGTATATTTCATCCATAAAACTAATCCAAAGAGATGACATCAGGATTGCGAGGCCAGTCATGGAAACCCTAACTTCGAATTATTTATTATTATTATGGTGTACGCTTTCCCTTGAAACACTACTCATATGGGTATGATTAAGGTGCAGCGTAAAAATTCGTTGTGGCTGGCCTTATCCCACAAAAGACCTGAAAATATGAACAAGCGTATCACACCTATAGTTAAGTCTATCGTATTGTGCTAAGCAAACTACCCAAGTTTTAAACAAAATTTCGCATCTTGCGTGACGTTTCTCTTTAAGAATCACGACGTTCATGGTTATTGAAGTAGCTTGGGACAAAGCTAGGAGAGACCAAATCACGACATGGCATCAATACGTGAAGACAATAACGGCTGAATTGAGTTATGTAGGCAGGTGCAGATTACCTAGTTAAGGTTCGTGTGAATTTAGTGATTAGTGGTTAGAAAGTGGGTAAATCTACTATCTTCCCTTAAATCATAAGTTCACGAATTATATTACTACTTTTTTTGTTTTGCTTATCTTCATTTAGTTTTCGAGCCGTGTCTTCCACAACCATTCTTTTCTATTACCATCTACACTGTTGCGAACACTACTCTCCTGTGATATAGGTTATCCCTTCTTTATTTAGTATCTTCAGTTCTTAAAAGTATTTTACCATCACCTCTGCACGTAAGTTTTAAGTGTTTAGAAATATATATTATCTCACCTCAGAGTGTACGGCGACTCCGTTGATGCCATTAAAAGTGATGTACATAATTTTGTTTTAAAAAATAAGTGGCGTTACGGTGTAAAACACATTTTGTATAACATCCATTTGTTGAATAACGATGCTAATGTTCTTCTACATGGGACTTTGGATTCATATTCAGTTTACCCTTTCGAGTTTTATAAGAGGCGGATAAAAAGGACAGTGTACTGCGGATAAGCTGCAGCCAAAAAGGCTTTCCAGCGTTGTACGAAAAAATCGTTAGTAGTAGGCTATAACTCAAAGTCTGCGTTGTTATAACTAAAATTAGTCACATAAGATTCTAAGAAACGTTATTCCTTGCAAAGATTCTTGATTCACCTCATTTAAGCCCAATGATATGGTAATAGTTGAGGATAAGCTTGGAGAAATTTCAGATTTCTTGGATAATGCATCAACGGGTTTTAAACTCATAGGTCTTCTAACCAAAGAATTTCATTCTACTCGTATAGAAAAATATTGTCCGTGGTTAGTTATGAACACAAACACTATAGCTGGAATATCGTCTAAGCAAATTTTTGTAAGCCGCACAAATAATGAGGTGATTGATTCCCTCTTACGTATGTTTTTGTATGTTAATTTTGCATTTTCTCATAAATACACTAGAACATTGAGA